TATAAATTTATAATTTTTTATTTTTATCAGAATGAAATTAATATTGAATTTATTTAAATTGTTGGTTGAATTCTTTTAATAAAATAATAAAAAAATTTGATAGTTAAAATATTAAAATTTGTTATAAAAATTTATTAAAAATATTTAAATAGTTTGATTAAAAATTTATAACATTTAAGTGCCAAGAACACCTAAATGTCACTTTTCTCATTTCTAATTTTAGCATGTAATTGTAAGGAATTATACGGGGGGGTACATTCGTCATACGAAAAATCGAAACAAAAGACCGCTGAACTGGTTCTGTGATGGTAACGCATAACAATAACATAACCCAAACGCAACGTTCCCAAGGCAACTAAAAGCCGGCTCAATTCTCCACTTTTTGTCCTCTTTTTTTCTTTTTTAAATAAAAAAAAATTAATTTTGGCTTTGGTTTTTATTCTTATTTTTGTTTTATTTTTTAACCTCTCACTTGCTTCCTTACTTCCACCTCTTCGCTTTCCCTTCCTTCTCCTGTGTTTTGTCCAAACGATTCCCACCCATTTTTCCCAAATACAGTAGAAAAAGAAAATTTCTAGAGAGAGAAACACAGAAAAAAAAAGAAAAAAAAAGCTAACTCCCCGGAAATGCCTATTTGTCCGGCGTTGTTCTGGCTCCGCCGTGGATTCTCTGGAATGCTGAGATAGGACGGGGGAGATTTTGAGTCTGTATTTGTTGCCGTGTTGGGGAAAACGGAGTTCGGGCGTTTATGACCCAAAATGTACGAAGCGGTATGCGATCACCATTCTGACGTTTTGAGTAACGGGAAGAAGAACAAGTCTGAGGACGACAAAGAGAAAGAGAGAGACGCGCGCCATCTGGTTGTGGCTGTCCCGCCTCCGGTCTACCGGAACCGATCCCAGGCTACCACGCGGCGCGTGACTCCCACCAACATCACTGCGGCTTCACCGTCCGTCGAGAGGCTTCTTCCCAACGGGGATCTCTACACTGGGAACTTTTCGGGGAACGTGCCGCACGGATCGGGGAAGTATTTGTGGAACGATGGATGTATGTACGAGGGCGAGTGGCGACGCGGCAAAGCGTCGGGGAAAGGGAAGTTTTCTTGGCCGTCTGGAGCGACCTTTGAGGGCGAATTTAAATCGGGCCGAATGGAAGGCTTCGGGACGTTCATTGGATCTGATGGAGACACCTACCGAGGGAACTGGAGCGCCGACCGGAAACACGGGTACGGGCGGAAGCGCTACGCAAATGGAGATTTCTATGAAGGATTATGGAAGAAGAATCTACAAGACGGGCAGGGTAGGTATGTTTGGAGTAATGGAAATGAGTACGTTGGAGAGTGGAAGAACGGGGTGATTTCAGGTCGTGGCGTGCTGATTTCGGCCAACGGGAACCGCTACGAGTGCCAATGGGAAAATGGGGTTGCAAAGGGACACGGAGTCTTCTCCTGGCCTGATGGGAGCTGTTATTACGGCTCATGGAATGAAGATGAAAAGAAGATTCAGCAGCTAAATGGGACCTTTTATCACGGTAATAATGGGAAGGAACATAGCTTGAAAGGGGGTGAGAATTTGGTGTTGATGCCGCGAAAGAGGTCGTCAGTGGATGGAGCGAGGGGGAGCCTAGGGGAGAGGAACTTTCCGAGGATTTGTATATGGGAGAGCGATGGTGAAGCTGGGGATATTACTTGCGATATAATTGATAATGTAGAGGCTTCCATGATTTATCGCGAGGGGTTAGGGCTGGATAGAGATGGGTTTATGCAGTTCAGGAAGAATCCTTGTTGCTTTAGCGATGAAGTGAAGAAGCCCGGGCAGACAATATCAAAAGGGCACAAGAATTATGATTTAATGCTTAATTTACAGCTGGGTATCAGGTGAGTATGTTGATGATGGTGCATAATTTGCCTGAAACTGGTTTTTCTTTCTATGGTTTAATAGGTAGTGATCACATTTTTTAGGTATTCTGTTGGGAAGGATGCTTCTGTTCAGCGGGCCTTGAAGCAGCAAGATTTTGATCCTAAAGAGAAGTTTTGGACTAGGTTTCCACCAGAAGGGTCCAAGTTGACACCACCCCATCAATCGGTGGAGTTTCGGTGGAAGGACTATTGTCCCATGGTGTTTAGGTATTGTCCCTTTCATTTAATTCCATCTGCTTCTTGCCTGACTATTATGGGATGGTGTTTAGGTATTTTCCCTTAATTTTACTGATTATTCAGATAGAGGCTGGATGTCTTATGTTAATTTTGTATGTGTTTGTTATCTTATTCATTCTCAGCCTCTTATGCCAGAAATGGCTGCTATTTTGTTGTTTTGGTTTAATTCCTTATGCTAAAATTGGCAACTGAATTCCTTTTTTGGGTATGGTAGACATCTAAGGGAGCGATTCCAAGTAGACCCTGCTGATTACATGCTAGCAATTTGTGGAAATGATGCCCTTAGGGAGCTATCTTCTCCGGGGAAGAGTGGAAGCTGCTTTTACCTTACTCAGGATGACAGATTTATGATTAAGACAGTGAAAAAATCAGAAGTCAAGGTTAGTGGCCAACTTATTTGACTTCCCGGTAAAGCTATTTATTGTCTAGAAACAGTATTTCAATTGCACAATTGGCAATTACTAAACTGCTTGTTTCATGTTTTAGGCTATACTTTTTGTAGTTAATCCTTACATTTGAAAGATAGCATGATTAGACTGAACCTGAAGTTGGATTGTGCATGTTCAGGTGCTTATCAGGATGCTTCAGAGTTACCATCAACATGTCTGCCAATATGAGAAGTCCCTTGTGACGAAGTTCTATGGTGTGCATTGTGTCAAGCCAATTGGAGGCCAGAAGGTATGTGTTAAAACAAGAGATAACGTCTTTAATGTGTTTATGTGCTTGTTTTGTTCACTTGCCTTATCCCTTCTTACATCCAAATGCCAGACACGGTTCATTGTGATGGGCAATTTGTTCTGTTCTGAATACCGAATCCATAGACGGTATGACCTTAAAGGATCCTCCCATGGACGCACAACAGATAAGCCTGAGGAGGAGATTGATGAGACTACAACCCTCAAGGACTTGGATCTCAATTTTGTGTTTTGCCTCCAACAAAATTGGTTCCAAGAGCTTATGGAGTAAGCTCTTAAGAATGTTCATATCATTTCCTTTTGGAATTCTGCTTCTCTCCTGCTGCCTCTTCTTTCTAACCTTTGTTTTCATTCCAACAAATAATTGTTAGGCAAATTGATCGGGATTGTAAGTTCTTAGAGGCGGAGAGAATTATGGATTACAGTCTATTGGTTGGTCTTCACTTCCGTGATGACAATAGAGGCGATAAAATGGGGTTATCGCCATTTCTGTTACGCACTGGTAATTAAAAAGAGATATTTGATGTTAACTGAGTATTTTCAGTTAGAATGTCACACTAATTGTGTGTCCCATGCAGGCAAAAAGGACTCATATCAGAATGAGAAGTTCATGCGTGGCTGTCGTTTCCTGGAAGCAGAGCTACAACACATGGACCGGGTTTTGGCTGGCCAGTATGTTTGCATGTCCCAGCTAATGTTCTTTATATATAGTTCAAATTAACAGCCTCTTGATTGTGGTATCTGTGGTGAATGATGCTGAAATTTTATTATCCTATTTTTTTCTTCCTCTTGATGATAATATTGTATGTCAATTATAACTGTAGGGAATCTATTATTGTTGAGGTTTGTCTTTCTGTGTAAATGGCAGCATCTATCAATGACGTATCTGGTGACTTTGATTCATTTTTGTTGGGATAATTGAGGTGGGCTTGATTATTTTGGTATTGTTTGGGGGTGTCTCTCAATAGGTAACAGTGGTTTGTGGGGCATGTGTGTAGCAAGTGTGGTCCTTTTGGTGGTGGATAAGAACCAAAATTTTCCTTGATTTTTAGTGAAAGAATCTATTGTTCCTAAGAAATAATAGATGAATTTGGTGGCCATGAATGGCAAGAGGGTATATTTTGAATCTGCAAAGAGGATGACTTTTTGGATTTCTTTTCTGTTCTTTTTGCCCGTGTGATTTAGTGATGTGAAAATTAATAGCTTACAAAATTGGAGGGGAAATGAATCTGAAAAGAACTGTTGTTTGTGGCATCCATGTGCACTTTTCGTTTTGTAATTTATTTCTTATCTGTACTGGGTTTGGTAATGAATACTGATTGATTTTATTCTTATTTTTGTTAATCGGCAGGAAACCATTGATTAGGCTGGGAGCCAACATGCCTGCAAGAGCAGAACGAATGGCTAGAAGGAGTGATTTTGATCAGTATTACCAGGGTGGAGTCAGTCACTTCACTCCTTCACGAAGTGGTGAGATTTATGAAGTAGTCCTATACTTTGGCATCATTGATATCTTACAAGATTATGACATCAGCAAGAAATTAGAGCATGCGTACAAATCTCTACAAGCTGATCCCACATCAATCTCAGCTGTTGATCCAAAGCTCTACTCTAAGAGGTTTCGAGATTTCATTGCAAGAATCTTTATAGAAGACAGGTAGCACTCAAAAGGGAAAGTTGTAATAAAAGATGACTTCTTTCTAGCCAAGGAGGTTGGTGATTCAAAACCGAGTGCTTCTTTTGTACCGTAATGCTGGGAATTATGAAGTTCCTGGTCTTCCGCAGAGCCAAATACTCATAGTAGAAAGCAAGCACGTGAAAGGTTGCATGGAAGCTCGGGGTAAGCTGGTATTTTGAGGGGTGATGGCTGAGTTTTAAGGATCAGCTATTGCAATGGTGGTGTTGGGGGGGCAGTTTGGTTGTACATTCAATTCAAAGAGGAAGTAAATTTGGATTCCAATGTTCCTTTTTTTTTTTTTTGGTTTTAGGAAGAATGGGGGATAGGGGGTTGAGATATTTTTGTGGGTTACCAAGGCAAAGGGATGTGGGTTGTGAAGATTTGAAAGATAGGTATAGGGAACATAGTAGATGTTTCCCAGAGAGAAGATTCAAAGTGGGAATAAGAAAAGTGTACAGTTTATAGGAAGGATGGATAGTTTATGGAATTCCATGATATTTTTAAGCTGTGAGATCATTGCTTTTTTGAAAAATATTGGTTTTGAATGTGATGTACATATGGGGTATGTGGTATACAAGTAGTGGGATAATTGCTTTGCTTTTGCAGTAAGGAGTTAGGGCATGAAAAGGAGAGAAAGCGAAGAGAAAGATGCGCTGTTATTTCTTGTTCTTGCCCACTTTGTTGTTTAGCCTTGTCTTTTTACTGTTTCTTCTCCATTCTTGGAAAAGAATTCAATTACTATATTATTTTCTTTCTTTCCACATCCTTTTCAAGTTTGAACGGAATGGAGTGGCAAGTCATACCATTGACCTCCCAACAATTTTAAAGACTAGAGTAGTTTCTGTTAAATTCCGTTTTTCCTTTTATTATATCTAATTAGGGGATATGAATTTTTAGGTTAATTTCAAGGAAAAAAGAAGTGAAAAAATATTTTAACAAATATTTATTTGTTAACTTAATTTTAAATTAATTAAAATTTAATAATTGTTAAATTTCATTCAAAAAAAATTTCTTAATAAATTGTTGGTTAATCAACGATCCGTTATTCTTCAGAATAGAAGAAGTTAGATTTCTTCTGAATAGAAGAAGTTAGATTTTTCTTAAATAAAATTTGAAATTTAAGTCTTATAAATAAAAAATAAGTGTTAAAAAAATTTCTTTTTAATGGGTTTAACCTGATTTAATTTTAAATTAATTAGAATCTAATAAGATTATTGAATACTGAAAGATTAATAAAAAAATTTATTGATTAAAAAAAGATTTAATAAATCAATAGGCATGAGTCATCTACTGTAAATCTTAAAAATAATTTTATAAATTTTTTTGTATTTTATTCTTACAAGTCAACTAGGTAATGATACAAAGTAATCTTTTTGTATATTTTTTATATAATTAATAAATATATATAATAT